CTTGTACTCCCCCCCCCCCCCCCAGCCCTGAAAAGAGACGTGTTGCTAACTTCTTCGCTTCCATTTCCAGCTGTCCCATTTCCTCCCACGCAGCGGCTCACTCTGAAGGAGGTGTTTGAGGATGGGAAGCCTAGGCTTGACGTCTTGAAGAGCCACTTGGTAAAGGAAGGGCGCCTGGAAGAGGATGCGGCGCTGAAGATCATCAACGATGGGGCTGCCATCCTTAGGCATGAGAAGACAATGATTGAAGTGGAGGCTCCCATCACAGGTCAGAGAGCTTTCTGCGGCTGGAGTTCTAAATAAGGGCCATCTAGGAAACAGGAGCTGCTCAGAAAAGCAGGTTTTCTGCTGTGTTCCTTCCATCAGCAAGGTTTTTAAATTGCCTGAACTCTCAGAAGAGAGGATTTTGCTGCTGTGGATCGAGTACATCTCTGCAGAAGCTGGATGTAAAGCAGGGGTGGCTTGGGTCAGCGCACAGCCATGCTATGCTCCTTGTTGCTGTCATGACCTTTCTTTTCTTAGCATGTAATTCTGTCCCTCTTTTGTGCTGTTCTTCCTCCCCTAGTGTGCGGTGACATTCATGGGCAGTTTTTTGACCTGATGAAGTTGTTTGAAGTTGGAGGATCACCCAATAACACCCGCTACCTCTTCCTGGGAGACTACGTGGACAGAGGCTACTTCAGTATAGAGGTGACAAATAAAGTTGAGCCTGGGGGTGCTAGTACTAAACTAACCAAAAGGGTTGAACTAAACTAGCAATCTTATGCTGGATTTCATACTCTAGCCTAGTTTTGCTTGCAAGGAAAAGAACATGTTGTAGGTAACTTAGGGTATGATTTATGGCAGAAAAGCGATGTCCAAATGTCACGATTTTGAATTGGGTCCTCACCCAGTGACTGAGTTAAACAGCAGCGGTGGGGTTAATGACTAAACTCTAGCTCTGAACTCGAGTTTTAATATCACTTGTAGCTGTCAGTCAGGGGAGCAAGAGGGAGAGTTGATTGTATGTTACAGGCAACAGGATCCTACCAGGCAGTGGGAAGCAAATGTTTAAAAACTTGCAGGATTCAGCTTAGCAGGGAAAAGAAAGCACTACACTACTGAGTCACTGCTTCCCTACCGTCCCCCTGAAAGCATCAACCTTGCAAAGCCAGAGACAGGGTCAGGAGAAAGGAGCAATAAATCACCTGGGCTGTTGTATGTCTCGCTGTGGCCCAGGAGTTTAGTGCCGAGGCATTTAATTGTGTATCTGGCCATGCTGTGCCCATGTGACAATCTGCCTTGTCGCAATAACGCTGTCACCTTACAGACATCAGCCGAACATCTGGCATTGTGTTAGGATTTTGCAGCTCTGTGGGATGTTGCCGACCAAGTGTTGGGTAACACTGCGAGTTTTTGATCTTAAAGGGCAAAGTAATCTGTGGGTCCCCGTGGTTGCTGCTGGCTCGCTGAAGACCCAGGAGCGTCAGAGCAGGCAGGATGGGAGAGCTATTAGCAAATGCCGCAAACCCCAAGGGATTGCAGCCTTCTGGTTTCGCAAAGGCAGAGCCTGGTGGAAAAGGAGAGCTTATTTCAGTTGGAGACAGCGTAATAGGGGTTGTTTAGGGAAACGGGGACGTGAAAGGTGGCGAAACTGGTCTGGAATAACAGAGTAAGTGGTTTCCCTTGGAAGAAGGAAGGTGCACACCACAGTGTGCAGTATTCAGCCGGAATAGCTGAGCCATTGGGTCTGCAGAGGAGTCTTTCTCAGTTAAATTTTGGGGAGGAACTCTCACGGACAGTGATGAAGGCGGTTAATGCAACTGCTTCTTTGGAAGATTCTGCAGAGGATTTAGGAGGGCACCGCTGACAGCTTGTGCTTTAGCAGCGTTCTGGCTTGTTTCCAGCCTTGCGTTTCGTGTGTTCCTAAATAGTGACGCTGAGCCAAGGTGTGACAATGAGCAGTTTCCGGGGTAGCGGGGATGGATGTTGGAAAGGTGGAGTTGGGATTTCTGGTGGTGCTGGCAGGAGGAGCCTCGTAACCCCTGGGGAGGAAGGGGAAGAACAGGCATCTGACCTCTTGTTTAAATGGCTTGGCTTGTGTAAATTGAGTTTGCAGTATTTTTACCTGGAAAAGAGATTATGTTATAGCACAGCAACTCTTCCTGAGCTAAGATGCAGATTTTATTTTTTTTTTATTAACCAAGAAACCTTCAAACGAGAGTTGTTGTACCCTGTGTCTGTGCACGAATTTTACAGATCCTGGGTGGTGAAGTGCTTCTCCCACTCTTTGCTCTTACCCTGTGGTTGAGCTGACATGGGGATTTTACTCCCAGATTGGTGCCCTCATCCCTCCATGCCGTGATAGTAGGGAAGAATTCCAGGGGAATGGACAAGTCCATCTTGGAGAACAGAGGTGGTGGGAAGAAGAGTTTTATTTTTTTGAGGAGGAGGCTCTGAAAATTACAGGTAAACCTCACCAGGTCTCTGTTGTGGCCTGACACTCTGACCCAGGGCCTGTGCCAGGCAGCCTGGTGTTTTTGGTCTTGAGAGCCTTGGGACAATCAGTCTTCATCAGTTCTGAGCACAAAGTTCTTCTTTCATGCTGCTCTTGACCCTCCTCCTTCCCTTTTTCCCCCGTGTCTGCGGAGGGAAAGCCACCGAGCGCTCCGTTACCCCACAGAGCTAGCATTGATCTTTCACGAATCAGGGTGGGCTTTGATTAGTACATGCGGGGGCTGATCCAAATGTCACTGATAAAGCAGAATCTAGAAGGCTTGATTCCCTTGTTCCTATTGATGTGTGCCTCTTCTTTCCACCTACTGCAAAGTGCAGCCGATGTGTTTTAAGAGATTCCCACCTGGGTGTGCAGAAACTGGTTTCTATAGTGAAACAACAGGAGGTTTGCTGCTGGCGTGGAGGATCGCTACAAGCAAAGAGTTAACGGCGCCAAATGGGTATCTTTGCATTATATATATTTTTAAAGACTTCTATAAAATGCAAAGCTGTAGCAGCTGGCCTCTGAAGTGCAGCGATGGCTGATCCGTAAATGTTTTGGGTTTGGAGTTGTGATTGCTTTATCCCACAGGCTCAGGTGATGGAAAGCTATCCAGGTTTCCTTGTGTTTTCACCACTGGGAAGGTGGAGAGCGCCAGCATCGTCAGGCTTTTATGAGTCACAGCACAAACTTGTGCATCCATGCGCTGGGTGGGGATATTATCGAGTGCCTGCCCAGAGCAGCTGATAATCATGACCTTTTAACTGAATGAAATAGGAGGTAATTGTATAATTGCATCCTGATGCAGGCAATCAGGAAACAAGATGCAAAACTGGGGGCCAAAGAGGTGTTAAGGCAAACCATGTTGCTTGTTAGCAGCCCAAACAACCCTTGCAAGCTTTCCCCATTGCTGTGAGTACTTGGTTGTCAAGGTAAAAGGAGCAGTTTGTGGCTCAGACAAAACCTTTAAAAACCCCCGAAAGCCTCTGTTCATCAGCTCAGCTGGATGTCTTCAACAAATTATTTCTGGGCCTCTGGCTTAGGGAAATTCTCATTTAAAAACGTTCATTCCCAGTAAGCATAATGAGGCCATGAAGTGTGGTTTGGTTAGGGGCTTTTTTTTTTTAAAAAAAAAGAGTTGTGGGGGGAGAGAGGAGGGAAGCAACCGTGTGAAAGCTGATGTCTAGCCGAAGAGGACTCTGCAAAGCGTTTGCTTTCAGTCTGTGCCACAAAGCCCGCTGCGACAGCGAGACTAACCGGCCGCAGACTCACACGTTATAGTGAAGGGGCTGACAAACAGCATGGAAATTGGGCTGAACACCTCCATTTGGAGATGCTGATCAGAGAGATGAAGGACTCTCTTGTCAGTCTGCAAGTGTGAAAGATGCTTCCTTCAAAGTGCTTTAAGCTTTTAGTTCCATCTCCTTACACAAGAGAGGTCTGTGCCCATGTTAGTCGATGAGGCACCATCCTGGTCTGTGAAGCCAGAACTGACAGAATACAACAGATAGAATTGTTTTACTAAATTATAAAGTGAAACAATTATTATGACCAAAAATAGAAAGAGTAGATTTATCAGTAAAGATGGCGTGATAATGGCATACACCTTTGCCAGACTAGTTTTTCAAATCCAGTTACGATGGGACACAGGACTGTTGTCTAATTACAGAATTGCATGTACGGTTGAATGCACTGTTTTAGTCAGAATATTATTAAAGAGATCCAGTCAATGTTGTAAGGCATGAGTGAAAGTATATTTGTGATCAGGATGCAGGAATTTTGCCGAGCTGTTTCTTCTGTGCCTGCTCCAGGCAGCCCCTCTTGTATTTGTGATGGGTTGCAGGTTGCAATTTCTCTTGCGGCTTCCCCACCGTGACCTGCTGAGCTTTCCCCTTGTGAGCGAAAACGGGGGGGGAATCAAATGGGGGCATGGGCACAAACGCTCAGCTTTGGGCTTCGAACCAATAGGCAGAATAAGGAGAGAAGTAGATTGTTTAAGCCTAGTAAGCCATAATTGTCTTGAGTTGCTACTAAGCTAATGTAAACGCGCAGTAATCAATTCCTGGGCACCGTGCCTTCAAAGTCTGGGAAAAGGATCTTGTACAAAACACCAGGAAGCATCTGAGGCATGCGAGTGTAGAAACCTCCCTTGCTCCTCGTTCCAGCCCCTCTGGAGCTGGCGAGGCCTGCCGAATGTGCTTTACTCATCGTTACCCCACGAGTACCTGGCAGCCCCCAGGTCCTTGTGAAACAGCTACAAACCGTGGGGCACCACAGCGATAGCGCAGACGTTTGCTCTCAACGTCTGTGGTTTGCTTGCTGCGTGTCTAGGAAGAATCGTGGTGCCGAGTGACTCTGTCCACTTCTGTTTTACTTTAAAACACTTCAAATATATTTTTAAATATCTCTTCTGCAAGTTGCTGACCTTCTTACATCCCAAATCCTCCTCTTGATTGGTGGTGTGTCTCTACTTTCTTGCTGTGCTTTGAACCGGTGATGCCAGGGCTGGTTGCTTTCTCCAGTCCTTAGCAAGTCGCTTCGTTCATTTATAGTGACTTTCACTTTTCAGTTCTCATGCTAGCCCAGAAAAATGTCATTTAGGTTGCAAACACAGGAGGTTAAAGCTTTAAATCAGAGAATAATTATAAATGGTTTTGTTTGGAACATTCCTCCTGTTAACAGTTGCAATAAACCATTATTTTTGCAGGCCTTAACCACAGCTTAAATTACCTGCCACTGGCACTGTTTCTGTTCAGCTTTAAAATTCAGAATTTGCTATCCAGTCTTTTTTTGTGGGCTTGAACTCTGAGTTGGACACAGACGGGTGCTTTACAGCTCCTTGAGGTTTTAGGCATCCCTGCATGTAGCTGGAATGACTAATGTAGAGCTTACCTTGCAGGTTCAGTGCTTAAATACTATGATATCTAAGGTGTTTGTACTGGAAACTAACTTGAAACTGGGGTTTTTTTGGTTCTGGAGGTTGTTTCCGTGCCACAGCAGCTGGTTCCCGGAGATCTGTGCGCCAGATCAGCAATGTTTTTAAGTGTAAAACTGTTGACAGACTTCATGGTTCACGTTCTCAAAGTGTGTGTCGTTTCTGTAGCATGTCAGCCTAAAGGGTAAGCTCTTATTAGAGACTTTAATCCAGATCTTCAAGCTTGCTGTCATTATGGGTTGTCCTTCCAGCACTCAAAATCAACAAGGGAAATGTGATAACGTTTCCCCATACCAGATACCAGCTGATTTAGCTGTCAGCTCGACAACGTATAGCACAGAAGGGTAAGCGTGCTTGCTTCCCAGCCCTTCCCTTCTTCACGTAGCCTCTTTGGAAAGCCACCGTGAAATATTTCTGGGAGCCTGCTGAAAATGATTGTTTCAGTTTGACTTTGGTCTGCGCCTCATCAAAGACGATCTTTTTACAGGTGCTGCTGCTCAGATAGGGGATGCGGAAAGCCCTCTTCAAAGCCAGAAGGGTTTACTAAGCTTGGGTTTTGGCTAGGCTTTTCCTGTTTTGAACTTGAACTTCACATGACTGTAGCGTAAGCAGAAAAACAGAGGGCGGGGGAGGAAGACAGTGGGGAGGATCAAGTTTAATTTTTCTGATGTTTAATGCACTTGATAAAATTGTCTGTCAAGATGGCTGTCTGTTACGCTTGATGGTCTCTGGTTTCGATTGCAGTGGGACATCTGGAGCGCACGTCTCGCTGCGCAGCTGGTTTTGCTTTGCTGCTCTGAAAATGGGTGCTTTTTGCTTTGGTTTCTGCTGGAAGGGAGAAAAAAAAAAACCTGCCCCCACCCAGCCCAGAGCTGGTTTCAGTTGAATGCGATCTCATTTGTCACTTCTCCAACTCAGGCCTAATATAGAGAAATGCTCAGTGTGGCTTTCCCCCACTGGTGAAGTTGGCCAAGATAAGATCTACTGCCGATTATGGAGCTGGGTTTCTATCAGGGTTCCACTTTGAATTTAGCTTGTTGGGTGTCTTCCCAGAAACACTTAGTGAAGTCTACGGATGATTAGTGCCCTATAAAAGGTTTTTATTACATGCCATCTCCTCCTTCCCTTTCTTGCAGTGCGTGCTGTATTTATGGAGTTTAAAGATAAATCATCCCAAAACATTGTTCCTCCTTCGAGGGAACCATGAGTGCAGGCACCTCACAGAATACTTCACCTTTAAGCAGGGATGTAAGTATCAGCAGTATAAGGATTTAAATCTATTCATGTGTTGTGACCAGGTGTGGGTCTTAATTTTTGTGCCTGCCACGAGCAGCATCATTTAGCTCTGGAGCTGTAAAAACCTATCGTCTGTTTTTTCCTGCGTACATAGCTCTTCTCCTCTTTCAGCTCTGCTGAAAAAACAAACCAACCCAAATATATAAGTCCTGTAAAGTACTGAGTGCACATTGATGTGGCCTTCTGGTTACAAAGAATGGGCATGGATGGAAGAAACACGAACGCATCTTCCCTGTCTCGCTGATGAGCCAGTTGCACACACCCCCCTTCCCTGACTTTCAGGCCCAGCAACGTATAATTACTGCCAAATGACTTTCAGCTCCAGATTGTGCAGCTGGGATCAGTGATTACAATTGGAAGCAAATAAAGGATTTGTTCCTCAGTGTTTGCACTAGGGAGAATCATTACCTTTAAGATCATTTTAGTTGAGTTAAAGATAGTTTCATGCAGCATTTACATATTTTTAAACCAGCGATGATGAAAGGTCGGGGAATGACCCCTCTCCCCTGAGGATGACAGCGATTCCTCCAAGCAATAAAAAAGGTATACGTCAGCAACGTGCGGCTCTTTATTAGGGAATATTTGCTCAAGAACCCGACCTCAAGAAATAGTTAGGGACAAGGCTCAAGTCCAATCTTTACCTCTTCAGCTTTGGATGCTGCTGGATGGAGTAAGGCTGATAGGTACCAAGATAATGACATCTGTTTACTCAGAAATGAGTTGGAAAACACCAGCCAGCTCTCTGCTGGATACTGTGGTGGTAGATGAGCTCCTGTTGAGCTGGGCTCAATTGGAACCAGAAAGCCAGAGGTGATGGTTCTTTATTTTTCCCCCCCTTTGGAAAACAGAAAATGCTACCTTTCCACTTCCTGTATCATAGCATGCAGCTGAAAAAACCTGTTAGTATCTCTGAAATAAAGCTGGAGGAAAGGCAAACTTTCCATTCATGCGTTTTTTTGCTTTAGACAGAGACATGTTTTATAGCAGTAATGAGGCTTTCTCGAAGATCTGGCTATGTTAGCATATTGCTGCCCTGCGAAGGGGCTGCAGATGCAAGAAGACGTGCACTTGACATGCGGCGATTTCTGCTCCTGCTCTCCATTCTAACGCAAAGTGTCGAGAGATATTTCTGAACATACTTGGAGGCTCGCTGTAAAAGCTAAGCTGCTTTCAGAAAGGCCTTGATATCTCTCCTTAGTGTATTGAAACATCCTCGTCACCTCTGTAAGATGAGACATCCAGCGGAGATTGTGATCACGTGTAGCCCTGAAAGATCCCGTGTGAAGATCCATTTAACTGCAGGCATCTTGGTCAAATTCTGACCCAAAGCACCCGTGTCTAGCTGAAAAGGCAATTCCTATCTTAAACGATTGCGTAATATTGCTGTGCCAAATTAAACAGCTGCTGCATTTCCCAGTGTATAATCTGCCTAGCAGCTGAGGCTGGTAAGATTCTTTGAGTCTAGAGGTGCAGTAGGAATGTAGGAAAGTGGTGGGGTGGATTTATTAGCATCCCAAGTTTTCTATTACTGTGTCAAACTCCTGACCTCTTTGCCATGTTAATCTTAGTGCAGGTGTTCTAGAAAATAACATGAAGGGAGATTAATGTTCTTGACCATGTCGAGATTACTGTGAAGCCTTTCTATTGTTGTGTCCAACAAGCGTTTTGTAAGTCAGCGTTTTCAGTAGTACACAGGTGCAAAGTTTGACTTGGCGGGCCGTACACATAGCTTCCATATCACCTTAGGAGTTAGGTTCCTTGAACTTATTTATCAGCACTTTGGCTGATCAAAGCTGTGCTTAATGCTTCTTATATCATGTAGATTTGGATGCATGAATGACTCCTTCTTAAAAAAAACGTAACAGATTAAAAAAAAAACTAAAAAAAGCTCTGCTTTCAGCCTGAGCAGCCTTTGTTGTGTAAATGAATTCAATTCTTCCCTCTCTTCCTCCCCCTGCTCTCCATCTTTCCAGGTCGAATCAAGTATTCGGAGCGAGTGTATGATGCGTGTATGGATACATTTGACTGTCTTCCTCTTGCTGCCCTCTTAAACCAGCAATTTCTGTGTGTTCACGGAGGACTGTCTCCAGAAATCACGTGTCTAGATGACATTAGGAAAGTAAGTAATCTCCGTGGTCCTTTCACGTAGCTTACAACTAATAGTGTGGTTGATGGCTTGCTTGATGCCTGCATGGAGTTCCAGATTGAGGCTCCTGTGCTCTGTATGTCCACACCGTAGGTGTGCATATGCTGCTGCAGTTTTCACCAGCATTGTCCTGATTTTGGGTACGTTTTTCAGTTAGACAGGTTTAAGGAGCCTCCAGCGTTTGGTCCAATGTGTGACCTGCTCTGGTCTGATCCATCAGAGGATTACGGCAATGAGAAAACGCTGGAGCATTTCGCCCACAACACTGTTCGAGGCTGCTCCTATTTCTACAGGTAAGTGGTGTTTTAAGGGACTCTGATGGACTAAGGCTTTTTGTCTCCCTTTACACAAAGGTGTATGTATGGGGAGATAAATTGCTATTCAAATCACTCTGTGGAACTTTACAACATACCTGGCTCTGGAATAGCCTTCAGTTGGCTCTAATGCACAAAATCTTGTTTGTTTTCCCCTCCTATAATATTGAGCTCTCTTTGGATATGTTGCTCAATGAAATTGTGGTATCTGACAGCAGAGATGGTTCTTTCAGCTGGCAAGGTGCCTTCTGAGAGGTTTTCAGGCATTGGACAGTACCAGCAGCTCTAGGAAATAATCTTTTCCTGTCTGAGAGAGAGGCATTTGTGCTGACAGACCTGTAGCCAGGCTGATAGGGAGGATTTGGCACCAGGGGTCTGTTTAACAGAATGCTTTGCAATTAATTTTTGAATGATGTAATACATACTGGCCTTGTTTGGGGATGCTGGCCACAAACTGAATGGATGCTGCAAGTGGCTGGTTCCCGAAACCAAGACCACGGCTGCTGTCTGTTCTCCTGTGCCACATGCTAACGTATACTCGCTTTTTGTTTTCCAGTTATCCTGCAGTTTGTGAATTTTTGCAGAACAATAGTTTGTTATCTGTAATCCGAGCTCACGAAGCCCAGGACGCTGGGTAAGTGCTGCAGCCTGATAGTAGCTGAGCTGGTTCCGTCTGCGTTACGTGCTATCCTTAGCAAGCCCAGTATGTTTAACACTTGACCTGTTTTTCAGGTACCGAATGTACAGGAAGAGCCAGACAACAGGCTTTCCGTCATTAATCACAATCTTCTCTGCACCAAATTACCTAGATGTCTATAACAACAAGGGTAAGGCCGGCAAGGCCAGCGTTCTGCTGCTGTTCTGATGCCAGTACTGTCCTCGCGCGCTTCGGAAATCCCTCTCCATCTTCCCTCGCCTTGCCCACTCTGCCCTCTCCTCTAGTCGTGTTCTTGTGCGTGAAATGAAAAAGAGCTTTATATGTTAAACTGACGGCAGCTGGGGAGTTGGAAGTGGCTGGGTTCTCTGACTTGAAGACTTAATGTATTACTGTGGCAATTAGCTGTCAAGTTATAAAGCCTAGAATAATGCTTTCATTTCCAGCCACATGACAGTTGATGAATGCTGCCATAAAAGAGAAGCTGCTAGTATAGGCAAGCTTTTAACTTCCCTCTGCCCCTAAAACCGTACGAGTATGATGGGGAACTTTCCTCAACTGTGGGGTTTTTTTACCCCTCGCTTTGGCTCTGTGTTCGTCGCTTCTAATTTGCATAAATTTTAACAGCTTTGTTAAATTGACCTTGGCTATTATGATAAGCTTTTGTGAAACAACGTAATGGGTAAACTGAAAAATATTGCTCAAGCCTTCTCGTTTTGGAGGGCTGGTAGTTTGCTTCTGCATTGAGTGCAACCTCGTGTTGATAATGAAGTTTCATTAGCGGAGGTACAGCTCCCAGAAGTTGACGGCGCCTACGGACATGCGTTGTCTTTCCTTTTCTCTCCTAGCTGCTGTACTGAAATATGAAAACAATGTCATGAACATCAGGCAGTTCAACTGTTCCCCTCATCCGTACTGGCTTCCAAACTTCATGGATGTCTTCACATGGTCTTTGCCTTTTGTAGGGGAAAAGGGTAAGAGATATTTGGATTTCTGTTTCGAGTTGCCCAGTGACTGATCGTAGTACCCTTAGAGTTAGAAACGTGTCCCATGGGCTGTAAACGTATTGGGAGAGTGTTGTAACTCTTTAATATCAGATAGCACTGGAAAGTCGTTCAAGGAGAGTTGCATATTACTGGGTAAAGTTCATGTGAAATAATTGTTGATACCTGTTTTAGAAAGCTTTTATCAATAAAACAATCCCTTCTTGCTGTTTCTGCATTGCTGATGGAGCCGATCTTGGGTGGTGTAGCCCCACCTCAGAATTTGGAGACATTTCTCTTGCTTTGGGTTTGCAGCAGAGAAATGAAAATCTCCTGTTGGCTTGTGGCCCACCAAAAAGGAAGCATTCACTTCAGTTTAAAGGCTTATTTCATTCTGAAGGACGTGAGGCAGCTTAAAATATGACCAAGACTTTGTCTCAATCTCTCAGCAAAAGGGTTTTTACATCTCCCGATGAGTTTAAATTCCACTCCAGCATTGTATGTTTGGAGCATGACTTAAAGGTCTGAAGTCTTAAAGCTTTTTTGACTTTGAGGAACCAAAGGTTGAATTCCCCTCCAAGATTTGATATTCTTGGAGCCAGGTGGCCTGTTGTGCGGGTCGGGGTGGGGAGGTGGGACCTTCAGCGAGCCCAGGCTGTTCCACGGGAATGTTGGCACCCCGCTCCCCACGTCTGTTTCATCTGTGATGTGCTTGGACCGCATCCACCTCCTCGGCAGAAGGTGTAAAGTATGTCGTCTGCTCTGGGTACTGTTGCGAGGTACCAGCAGTATGCAGCTAAAAGTGTCTTTGGGTTTCCACTTCCAGAGTACAAATGACCTTGAAATCGTTTGCTTGTCCAGTTCGTCCTCCAAATACCTCTGTCTGCCAAGCGTGCGCACCAGGCCGCTCTAATCTTCCTGTCTGTGCTTCTTACAGTCACAGAAATGCTCGTTAACATCCTCAACATATGCTCCGATGATGAGTTGATTTCAGATGGTGATGAGACATTGGAAGGTAAAAAACTGTTGTTACAACCGAGCTGGTAACAGTGGGGGGGTGAAGGTGGGGAAGGTGTGTGATGCTAGCTCAAGAGTCATCAGCGCTTGATTTATAGCTGGATGCCCAGCCAGGGTTTTCAGTTCCTTTTTGGCCAACCCTTGTGCAGTTCTGGGTAGGAAACTTGGTTGGTTTGGGGTTTTTTTTCCCTTTTGCGATTCAGTCACAGAAAAACTAAATTACATTCACTGCGACAGACGCTTCTTGCCAGCTACTCTGGAGAATGATTTCCTGCTCCTTACAGAGACTGCTTCCCAAGTGGTTATTTTTTCCCCCAATTCAGAATTTTCTGCACCAAAATATCTACCCGATCTTCTCATCTGTTGCAGTGAACTCCTCTGTAAAGTGACTTCTTGCGTCACCCCCAGAAAAGTAGAATGCGGTTTTTGGCCCTGGTTTTAAGTTTTGCATGAAAGGGGCAGAACAGTTGCTGAGCTGATCTGCAATTTCTATATGGGGGGGATCGCCTGAGAGCGAGGGGTGACCCAGAGGAAGCTGAGGCGCAGACGTGGGGCTGTGAGCATGCAGGGGGGGGCCGGGGGAGCTGCCTGTACCGATCCGTGTCAGGTGGAGGACAGTCAGTCCCGCCGAGAAGCAGAACACTGTTGTGGTACAACAAGGTGCCGCTGCTTCGGTCAACAGGTTGAGACTTTAACCCGCTTCTCCCATTGCATTTCGTTTTTGGTTTGTTTTTTTTTTTTCTTTCTCCCTCCCATGAAAATTAAATTTGTTTCTTCTATCTCTGTCTTCATCTACTTGTTTCTTGGTGTCTCCTCTCCCTGAAGATCACTACATTTCAAGCTATCAGAAAGGTACCCAGCTAGAATTTGCTACAAGCTTAATTTTCACTGCCTGTGCCACCAGATTCCTTGGAGTGGATTTGAATAGCTGACTAGTTGGGCAGTCTCTTCATCCCCTTTCAGTTTTAACATAAGCGCCGTGTGTTTTTTAACCCTTCTGCGTTCCTCCAGGAACTTGAGAAACGGGGTCACGTTTCTATCTGACTTCTGAATGCAGCCACTTAGTGCATGGCTGAGCCATCGGTGCATGTTAGACCTCCGGTTTGGCTTGTACTGTCCTAATGTGTAGTTGGGCCATGTGAGGAATCTCAGCTGAGAGGAGATGTATTTGTTACCTCTTTTACTTTGATTTTTTGTTTGTTTTCAGTTACCCTCCATGCTTTTCTCTCATGTTCGGTCTGTATAGCGGAAGGGGAGTTCACATATCTCACTTTGTGTTTGTATGGGGTCAAAGCAGAGTTGCAAGGCTCCGGCCAGCCGTTCACTGTGCGCGTTGGATGCCAAAGCTGATGCTTGCGTGACACTCCTCCCCGCGGCGAGCACAGCCCCGGTGTTCTGCGGTGTTCATCAGCAGTCAGATTCGTCAATGTTCTGCCTTGCAAAACTGTGTCTACATGGCTGAGTCATTTGTGTTACATCCTGTGTAGTGTGATCAAACCTGGTGAGCTTCGAACAAGACCTATCCGATCCGTTTCCTTTGGTGGTTCTACTCTCTTTAGACCTTTAAGTCCGTGTGTCATCTTGGTGTTGCCCTTCTCACCGCCATCCTCTCAGCACTGTTCTCTCGAGAGTGTAACTGTGAATCTGTAAACCATGATTTCTTTTCCTGGAGGCAGGCAGGTGCTTCATATTGACATTACCTGTGCCTGGAAAGCAGGAAACCTTAAACATGCAGGTATTTTGTTTTTTCTCTCCCTAAGGTGGGACAACAGTCCGTAAAGAGATCATCAGGAATAAGATTAGAGCCATTGGGAAGATGGCACGTGTCTTCTCGGTTCTTCGGTAAGGAAGCAGCTTGTGATTTGGGGTCTGAGTTTCGTTTGAGGTCTGGGTAATGGGGGACATTGGTCAGAGTGCACCAGGCAGGCAGAGTCCTGCTGGGGAAAAAATCTGAAGAGACTCTCACTTCCGAGCGGATGGCAAAGGCTCGAGGTGGTGCTTTCTGTGTGCCTGGCGGTCTGACTCTCAAAAACCTCCTTCTCAAGCACCGGCACCTTTGCCAGCAGAAATGCCGCTGATTAGGTATATTTAGCCCTTTCAGGATGCATTTGCTGTGCCGTAGCTCTGGTGCGTCGTGGCTGAGCAAGCAGAGGTCCTGTATTTACGAGGCAGGGTTGTGCTCAGTGCCCAGCAGATCAGACACGTGCTGCCTGTGGTCAGCACAGGGCAGACCTCAGTTTTCACGCCACTCACCGCTAAACGATCTTGCGTGGACTTAACCGAGCGTTGCGTTAATCTCTCGGTAACTGGTTGCCTTGCCTCTTATTTGCAGAGAGGAGAGCGAGAGCGTGCTGACTCTCAAAGGCCTGACTCCCACAGGTACACTGCCCCTGGGAGTGCTCTCAGGGGGGAGGCAGACCCTACAGACTGGTGAGTACGAACCATCCTCCTCCCTGCAACACTGCACCCCCTCTGCGGTTCTGTACCTGGCCCTCAGCTGCCCCTTAAACCCTTCAATCAGTTCCCGTAGGCGTATTGCAGGGTGCCAGGGGACCTGAGAGATGGTTCAGGCCCACGGGGAGGAAGGATTCAGAAATAGGAAAAAGCAGAAATGTAGGTGGGGATGTGGAGAGCCTTCCAAGACGTCCCTGCGTACCCTCGAGGAGGGGAACGCGAGGAAAAAAAGACAACAAACAGCACCCCGCCTAACACATGTGTATTGCTTTATTGTATGTTTCTGCGACAATTTTTATCATTTATTTCCCTTCTAACGCTGCACGATAAGCACCCTCTGCTTCACCTATCTGCTGCTGTTGTGTGATAGCGTATATATGAATGTAATAGTAAACACGCCTGCTTGTTTGTCCTTCGTTAAATGAAACCCCTCCCGTTTTGACCCTATGAAATCATGAACCCCAGACAGAGGAAGCTGAGATTTAGTTGAAGCAAGGAGATTCTTCCAGGCCCGTATGTTTCATATTAAGACTTCTCTCGGCCCCCTGGTTTTGATCTGGTTTTGGAGGTTTCTTTTCTGTGCTTGCTGGCAAATTCTTTGCTCCCTCCCTCAGCAGCCAACTGATCTGTCTTATTAGTGTGCCGAGAGCAGGCCTGGCCGGCGATCTGCGTGCTTGAAACTTGCAGGGCAGGGGAGATTGGCTGATGGTCAGGGAATGAGTTATCATAGTAACATGTGTCCCCGGAGGGAATCCTGTAATCTAGTGTTTTAATCCTTTCCTGCCGCCAGCCTTTGAATGCTGGCATCTCACCAGCCTGCTTTTCCCCTTCCTATCAGCGCTGGGTAATTTCCTGCAGGCTCCGAAGAGAGGGCTTGTTCTGGGATTGCCTTGCCTTGATTAAATAGTTCACGAGTGAGAAACGTGTAAATATTGCTGCCCGCTCCGGGGAGTGGGGAGGATGCGGTATTGCTCCCAAACTCATGGGTTTCTCTGCCTGCAGAGGAGTATGGCTTTTTTTTTTTTCTTTCCTTTCCTTTTTTATAGCAACCATAATGGTTTGTGTTGCCCCAGTTCTGCTGCAGGCATGGGAACAGAGCCTGAGTGGGAAGGCGGCTGTTACAGCTCAGCTCGAGCAACCGGCTCGCTTGTGGTGCCACAGCTTTGCCCCTGTAGCTGACAGCACGGGTCATGCTGCAACGCTGTCCTGCACCTTCCCCTCCCAGGGGGGTCCTCTAAGGGGCTACCAGGCAGCTCCCCCCAGTAAGAAGGCGAGATTTGTGCACCTCCCCAGGACAGGACAAACAAGCTGAACCTCACCTGACTCTTCCTGCCGCCTCCTCCCGCAGCCGCAAGCTTCCCACCCTTTGCTGCTCCCGGCACCCCGTGCTCCCCGCAGCAGCACCCCGCTTTTCGTGCCCTTCTCGCGCTCCCTTCCCCACCGTGCCTCCTTCTCTCGCCCCTTCCCGCTTTCGCAGGTCCCTTCGCGCCGTCTGCTCGCAGCAGCATCCTGGTGACGGTGCAGGCGCT